CCAGTCTGGGTGACAGTGAGACTCCAACTCAAAAAAAAAAAAAAGAACGTGTTCAACATTTGCTAATCCTGGGGGTGGAGGAGAGGGTGGGAAAGGACGAAAAGAGGAATGGTATTTTGTGACACATGAAATTCCTCTGAAATTCAAATTTCAGGGTCCAGAAATAAAGTTTTTTGGCACATGGCCACACCCACTCCTTTACCTCGTATCTGTGGCCATCTTCATGGAGTTACCACCAGAGACCATGTGGCCCCAAAGCCCGAGGTATTTCCTACCTGACCCTTTACAGGCCAATCTGCTGACCCGAGCTTGCCAAGATACTCTGCCCGCACACTCCTGGTGGCTCGATATTTTTTAACACGATTCTCCTGAATTGTGGGCATTGTATAAATTACACAGAAGTACCACTTTATAAATATGGATGTGTACTGTAAAACTTATACCAAAAAATGCATTTTAAAACTATGAGATAAGGCTGGGTGCAGTGGCTCACGCCTGCAACCAGAACAGTTTGGGAGGCCAAGATGAGAGACTCGCTTGAGCCCAGGAGCGCAAGACCAGCCTGGGCAACATAGTGAGACCCCATGTGTACTTCAATGTTACCAAAAAAAATTTACGAGTAAATAAATAAAAAGCATGAGATGAGAAAGAACGAGAACCAGGAGTTCTATGGTTTTCTGACTGTCGCCTCATTGGGACATGCCGCCCATACCCCACCTTGAAGCCCCCTGGTGGGGTCTATTCGGTTCACTTTTCAGATAGGAAACTGGTGTGTGGGCCGCAACCAGGAAAGGTGCTAGGGGTCCAGGCTGGGCGGCTCTGTGAGTGCTGAGCTGGCGGGGGGCGGGAGGGGGGGTGGAGAGGAAGTGGAACAGAGTGACAGCTTTCCCCACCCCCAGGGGAAACTCAGAAAACAGGACACCAGGCTGAGGAGAGAAACTGGTCCTTCCCTCCAGGCCCCAGCTGACTGGAAGCTGCCCGTCACTTCCTGTTCACCCCGACCCTGTCCTGCCCTTTCCTGATCCTGGAAAATGGGGTGGGGTGTGGGGACAGGCCGAGGAGGAAGGCCAGCACCCACGGCTTCCTGGAGATTCCTGCCCCGGAAGCCCTTGGCAAGGCTGCCCCAGCCCAGGGCGGGCCCCTCGGGCAGCCACACAGCACATTTCCCCTGTTGCCTCCTCGCCCCCCTGGCCCTTGTGGCTCAAGGAAAGCAAGAATTAAAATAAAACACTTGGTAGGGCAGGGCTCAGGCACTAACAGCTGGTGGACAACTGGGAGCACCTGCCTGGTGGCTTCTGCTGGCCAGTCATTAGTTCCTGCAGCCAGGGCGTGGGAACAGGCCAGACACTGCGGGTCCAGGACAGAGGCTGGGGCGAGTGCGGACGCAGAGGGTGGCCTGTAGAGGTTTGGGTCAGGATCTGCCCCAGGCTGGGCCTATGCCTGAGGGGCACGAAGCCGCCCTGGCCAGACTCTGAGGGGCCCACGGGCAAAGTCCTCACACCCGCAGGGCTCGGTGGCTCAGCCTGTAATCCCGCGCCTTTGGGAGGCTGAGGTGAGTGGATTGCCTGAGCCCGCGGGTTCGAGACCCGCCTGGGCAGCGAGACCTCATCTCTACAATAAACCAAAAAATCAGCCGGGCATGGTAGCACGTGCCTGTAATTCCCGCTATTCGGAAGGCTGAGGCGGAAGGATCGCCGAAGCCCAGCAGGCCGAGGCAGCGGTGGCCGGGAGCGGCCACTGCACTCCAGTCTGGGCAGCAGAGTGAGACTCCAACTCAAAAAAGTCCTCACACCCGCAAGAGTGAACCCCCCCAGCCTCACTCCCTCAGTGACCCCTGCTCACTGGTTGGGGAGGAGGGAAGGGGACACCCCTCCCAAGGGCCCACAAGACATCTATCTGCCCTTCCGACGTTTGTCCCCGGGATGGAAAGGTCAGCTTCCCTTGTTTACTTTCTGTTAATGAAGAAGCCTGACCCTGAGACCCAGTGGCCAGTGGGGGAAGGGCGGACGTGGAGGCCCACAGGACTGCCCCAGGGTGCCAGCAGGTGGCCCAGAGGAACAGGTGTCCTTGATGCCCAG